GTGTGTGTGTGTACGGTATGCGCATATATGCATACATCGTAGATACCTACATCGCCTGCCTGCCTACCTACCTACCTACCTGCCTGCCTGCCTGCCTACCTACCTACCTACCTACCTACCTACCTACCGACCTACCTACATTCCTACATGCGTACCTACCTGCATACATAAGACCGTTTTCAGTGTAGAAGCCCAAAAACTTCCACGTTGCAGTACATAAAAAGCCGTTGGAAGTGTCACTCAAATCATGTCCAAACCCAATGCCCTGGAGCCTAGGCTTCAGGGTTTAGGATTAAGAACCTGCACCTTATATAAAGACCTACACGCTCAATGCTGTTCTTATCCAAACCAAATAGCGCCATAAAGCCTGTAGCTACTAGTCCCTGCAAGCGTAAGTCCTAAGCCCCAAACCCGTAAACCTTAAACCCCCAGGTGCCCTAAAGCCGAAAGGCCGAATATATATATTATATATGTATATATATATATGTATACACACATGCACTTGATTGTTGTGAAGCTACTCGTCTCTACACCTGTCCAATACGGCCATGGCTCTCACCGCAATCCGCTGCCTCCTGGGCTTGCAGGTTGACGGCGGCACCGGGCAGCGTTTGATGCGACCTGCCCAAGCTAGTTCGCTTTGGAAAAACTTGAAAAGAGGCAGAAAAGACTGCCATGAATCTCTGCTGACTACTGGGGCGGGACAGCAGCCGTGAACTTCCGGGACGGCTGCCGCTGCTGCCTTCGCGATCGTAGTAAGGATTGGGCCCTCCGAAGGAGAAGACACGCTGCTTGAGAGCCCCCTGATTACCTGAGGGCGCAGGGAGAAACATGTCGACAAGTCCGCATGACTACGGCTTTGGAAGATCCGTCTCAGTGAGACTGAAGTGCGCACATGTACATTGCACGATCCAGAGGATGAAGATACCTATTGAGGAGGCAATTGTGCCTGGCAGCTACGTGCACCTTCAGCTCTATCGGAAAACACCAAGTAATCTTACTGTTCTTGAGGCTCCAATCCCCAAGCAGTGCTTGACGTGCTTGACCCGTCGTAATGCCTGGACATGAAGCCTTCAAACATACCAAGATGCGACACCTCAAATATCACAAACGATCACAAATGACTTGAGGCTTCTCGAATCTTTTGGAGCCACCTACGGACCTAGGCCGCATTTGATGCGAGGCTTGACGCTGGGACTCCACAAATACTACTGAATGACTACTCAGCCGTCCTCACCGCGTAAACCAAGTTCAGCCTCTTTGCCTCTTATTAACCAGCCGTGCCGGGATAATCAAATGACGATGGCACTCGATTTCCATTTCCCGACTCATATTAAGCTTCCTGTCCGACGGCACCTGCTCTCAAACTAGCTACGGCAAGGCTTTTGTTGCTGAGAGCATGCCGGGCCCAAGACATGATAGGACAATCCAGTTGCGCATCTGGGCGTTGACCGGCGCACGTGAGTATGTAGGGTCGACCACAGCACAGAATGCAAGGTAGTTGAACCTCGCCGGCTGGAGCATGGCAGTTGCATGAAACGAAGGCACAGTGCACTTAGAAAGCCTGGACGTGTGACAACGAGACCGAGCAGGACAGCTGGCCACCGAGCCCCAAATCACGAGAGAGATGTCAGCTTCATCGGTTTCACCGGCTTCAATTCTGAAACTCCTTTCGTAAGCAATCGAATCCTCAAGCAGCTCGGCTTTCAGGGCTTTGCTGCCAAGAGGCTCTTTTCCGCTCTCCTGGGCTGCCGCGTAACCCTCACGCGTTGAGTCTTTCCCGCATCTCTAAGGCAGATTGCGCGCAGGGACCACCAAACTACAATCTTCGCTTCGTTAGAGGATTGGATGTGAGCAAGCTCTCAGGCCGAGCAGCAGTGTCGCAATATGCTTTGCAAACCACCTGGCTGGCTCCAGTGTCAAAGTGCCACGTGGGCATGTTCAGTTGAGAGTCCGGTGTTTGCATACCGGCATGCTTGGATGCTGACAATGCCTACAGCAGAGAAAAACGAATCACGCGAACCTCCAGATCTTCTCGCGTGAGGGATTTGACGCTCAAATCATCCATGACCTCAAACAAGAGCGTTCTGTGCATCACCCAGGTAATGGGTGTATATAAGAAGAACATCAAGCATGACCCAGCCGAGGTGCCCTCCAAAAGTGCAGTGCCAATACGTGGCCGTAGCATGCCTGCCCAGGCTTCCTTGGCTCGTACCAAATCTCCAAGGATCCATTTGGCTGGCTGATGCTCTTCCTATAAATCTCGTGCCAAGCTTCGCGTAGTTCTCGAAGAGTGCTGCTGCATCCATTCCTCTTGAACGAACATGTGTGGCCACTGCACTGTGTACCTGCAGGAACCACGTCTGCCGCACAGGAAAGAATCCGGAGAAGCTGTCACGCCTCTGATGCCCGGCTGTGAAATGCTGGAAAAGCGTGCTGTGCTGAACGCAACATTGTGATTATTTATTCTTTCAGGCTGCAAGCAGGCTCTATCCCTCTTCCGGTGGCCTTGTCCAAGATAGCCTTGACGACAGGGCTCGTGACATGCGGCCGATCATTGGAAACATATCCCGTTCTTGCTTTGGCCTGAGGATTCAGCGTGGCATGCTTGGAACGTCTACAACTACAGAGACACACTCTGCAATCAACAGCAATCACCACGATCCCGACCCTTGTACTTAGGCTGACAGCCAGTGTCTCTGACAAGGCTGGTACGAGTCAGCTGAGTCCAGCAGCTGTCTTTGTTTCAGTCTTCTCGATGCGCTGTCGATTAGCCGCGTCCAGCTCCGAGCAGAAGTCGTGATAGCGGAACCGGCCATCGGAACTTTTATACCTCAGAAGTCGTGCCCTGTGAATTTTGTTTGCCAGCGTTGCTCTGACACAGAATAAAGGTCTATAGTTGCTCGAATCGCCGCATGGCACAGAAGAACAACATGCCCCTGATGCTCAATCGATGACTCCGTCTTGCAAACACGCCCCCGACAGGCCTGTCGAAGAGTTGCTGCATCTCCTCAGCACGGAGTCTGAGACCCATGGTGGTGATGCCATTCTTGAAGCCACCTTGCGAGACCACACCTGAGTGCCGTCATCGGGGCTCCAGCTCTGAGGCACTCAAGCTACTGGGTCCCAGCCTTTCTTGAGCGGGTCGAAGTCGGCGAAAGAATCCCAGAGTCGCACGCGGTGAGTCATCAAATGTGAAAGGAGGGTTTGCCTCGGTGCTCAGAATCTTCCACGAGATTTTTGGCGTGGTCCTTATTCTCGATAAGAGCTTTGATTTCCACGTGGCACACGAGCTGTCAAGCCAGGTCGCATCACGTCGATCTTCTTGGAGAAGCGTGCACCGGCTGTTTGAGGCCGCGGGGGGAGCTCTGCGGAGGCACGACGGTTCCTGCAATGAGGCGTGGCCCAAGGCCGTCAGGTGCAGGCCTTGCAGGCCTTTAGCCGGCTTGGCTGGGTGAGCTCTTGACTGGCCTCGACTCCCGTGCTGTCTGGGGCCGCTTTGGCGCTTGCGTCTTCTCGATTTGATCTCCGTCCTCCAGGAAGCTCACTAATTACAAGATGCTGGCTTGCTTGTTCAACCCTGGAGAAGACCTGCTCCAGCGACCAGCGCAAGAAACAAACAGACAAACACACACACACACACACACGCACAGACAGACAGACGCACACACAAACAAACACACACTGCTGCACCTGCACCCCGCGACCCCGACTGCCTGCGACCTTGGCTCGCGGGCACTTTGCGGCCGTGGAGGACCTTGCATGGGCTGGCGGGACGAAGAAGATCTCTCGGAATGCATCTGCGCTGCCCAATTACAGCCATGCCGTGATCGACAGAAGCTCATACGACCTCTACAGATTTCCTGTCTTCTCGGGCCTGTGAGATGGAAACCCGATGTACATCGCTAACAAGCCAGTGGCGAGCGGACACAGAGTGAAGAACCGTCACGTAGCACTCACAAACATGCACCGTTCGTGGTTCTTATATGCCTACGCAACATACGCCGACTGAGTGTGGCTGGAACCTGGACATGCATCCCTCCTCGCTCATTTGCCAAAGGAGCGTTGCAACGGAAAGCCGGCAGAGGTAGCTTGGAGAGGGTAGCCTGGCTGTGGGTACTGTCAACCGCAGCTATCAAAAGACAGCAAACAACAACAACAACAACAACAACAACACCACCACCACCACCACCACCAACAACAACATCAACAACCACAACCACAACCACAAC